AAAAAAAAAAAGCAAAAAAAAAAAAGGAAAAATCCAAAAACCAGACGACGCGTGACGGACGCTCACCTGTAACTACCTTGCTAGCTAGCCAAGAACAGACCAGACTCACCTCTGCTCCAAAGGAAATCCAAAACCAAGGAAGATCCAAACGTCTCTCCACTGCCAAAGTTCGTTTCGTTCTGTTGTCGCTTCCTTCCCCTCCCCACAAGGATGGATGGACATGCCCCTGGGGCTTTAAAGAATTTCTATTAAAATAAAGCAAAAAAAAAAAAAAAAAAAAAAAAGAAAAAGTGTTTTTTTACTAAAACCCCAACCCCCAAGGTGTGGGAGGGGGAGATGGGGCTGAGAACCGCAGCCATCTCTACCTCTGCCCACCACCGCCCTGGGAAAGGAGAACAGAAAGGAGATTTAAAAAAAAAAAAAAGAATAATTAAAAAAATAATTTAAAAAAAAGGAAACTAAAAGACGGATTTTGGGTTTCTCCCTCCCCGAAGCCGTCGGGGGACCCCCATCCCTTCACTGCCAGGCTGCTCCCACACCCCCGCGCTGGATTTGTTTCACAAGGATTTTTAAGAGGAAAAGGAAAGGAAAAGGAACGCTGCCGCCTTCCTGGCCAAGGACAATGTGGATTATTTGGGATTCTTGCCTCGCCGGAGCGGCACGGAGGACGGAAGTGCAATAGGGAAAGTCCGAGCTCCGAGCGGAGGCAGCAGTGCTGTGCGCTAATGTGAATGTAAATAGTGTCTGCAGAGGTCCAAAAATGAAGAATAATAATAATAATAATAATGCTCGTGACAAGAAGAAGAGACGTTTGCCAAATAAAGGACGAGGAGGAAGCGTGGAGCCGTGGCGCTGCCCGGAGCGAGGCCTGGCATCGAGAGGAGCTGCAGTTTTCCCGCATTCGCAAATCCCATCCTGTGTGTTTTCCCGAGGGGAGGAAGAGGAGGGAAGGGCTCGGGGCCGGGCTGAGCCACAGCAGAGCTGGGGACACGCCAAGGGTGACATCCCCGGCCCCGTGCCACCGGCACCCGGCCCTGCTGGGGGTTCCGTGCACCCCAAAATCTTGGTGCATCCCCTGGGAGGATTCTGTGCACCCCAAAACTTTGGTGCATCCCCTGGGAGGATTCTGCACACCTCAAAACCTTGGTGCATCCCCTGGGGGGTTTCTGTGCACCCCAAAACTTTGGTGCATCCCCTGGGAGGATTCTGCACACCTCAAAACCTTGGTGCATCCCCTGGAAGGATTCTGCGCACCCAAAATCTTGGTGCATCCCCTGGGAAGGTTCTGTGCACCCCAAGGTCTTGGTGCCCCCCCCCAGGGGTTTCCTGTGCACCCCAAGACCTTGGAGCATCCTCTTAGGAAGGTTCTGTGCACCCCAAGACCTTGGGGCATCCTCCTGGAAGGGTTCTGTGCACCCCAAGGTCTCGGTGCCTCCCCCCAGGGGTTTCCTGTGCACCCCAAGGTCTTGGCCCAACCCTGGGGACGTTTCTGTGCCCCCCAAGACCTCGGTGCACCCCTTGGGTGGTTTCTGTTCCCCCCTCCCCAACCCTGGGAGCTTCGCCCCTCCCGTGACCATTCACTTTATTTATGGTGTGACATATGTAATATTGTATATTTTTCTTACGTTTCCTGAGAAGAGGTAATATATAAGAGTATTGCAGATGCCCCTGCTCGCCCGGGTGTCCGGCCCGTCCCCGCGTGTCCCCGCCCGTCCCCGCGTGTCCCCGGCCCCGCTCCTGCCGGGGCTCTGCCTCTCTACCTCCACCTCGCCGGGAAACCGCGGGCGAGAGCGCTTCCACAGGGACTGCTCTCCTTTCCACTCCGCTCCCTGCTGGTTTGCTTTTTTTTTTTTTTTTTGGAATTTTTTTTTTTTTTTAAAATTTTTTTTTTTTAATTAAGAATAAAACTACCCTACAGAACCTTGCATTGAAACCAAAAGCCGAGGGAGGGGAGGGAGGGGACGGCGGTGACGGGCGGCCAAACCAGAACGACAGCTTTAAATGTGAGATTTCCCAAAAAAAAAAATTAAAAAAAAAAAAAAATAAAAAAAACTGTGCTGCGGGGAGGACGGAACGGCCGCGGGGCTGAAGTGATGCTGTGCTGGTGGTGCCCTGCGGGACAAACCTTGGGGGTTTGCTCCGAAACGGTGGCGCTGGGGGACAAGGGACGTGTGCCCCGTGCTGTGCCCCTTTGGTGGCACGGTGGGGATGGCAGCGGATGAGCAGCGCGGTGCTGGCACAGCCTGGGGACACGGGGTGCCACATCAGGTCCCCGAGGCTGCTCGCAGCTCCCGGGTTTCCTGCTCCCGTCACGGCCGGGGCCGGGGGACGGTGCTGGGGACACGGCGACAGCGTGTCCCAGGTCCCCAGGGCGCTGGCTGCTGGGGTGCCACCAAGCCGGGGAGGTGGCAGGAGGGACGTGGATCCCCGGTGCCCCTCTCCGGCCCCTTCCTCACGTTCCCATCCCAAAATCCCAGCTGAAACCAAAGTGCCACGTCCCGGCGAGGCTGGAGCGGGGGTCCCACGCCTGCCTGGCTTTTGCTCCATCACTGCCAGAGCCCCCCGAAGTCCCCCTGCAGCATCTCCTCCTCCTCCTCCTCCTCCTCCTCCTCCTCCTCCTCCCCCGGGGGCTGCTGGGGTCCCAGTGGGTCTGAGGCTGGGGACAAATGCCACTGTGCGTCCCCAGGTCCCAGGCACTGTGATGGGGTGTCCCCCTGCGGTGGCAGCCCTGGGGGCTCCTCCGATGTCACGGAACGCCACGGCCCCGGGAGGGAGGTCGCGCCCGTGTCCCGCTCCCTCCCTCCCGGCGGCGGCGGCACCGCTTCCCCGGCCCCGCGCGGGGCTGAGCCCTGCCCGTGCCGCCCCGGGACGGGGACACCGAGCACGGGGGGCCCTGCGGGGCTGCGAACCGGAGCCCCCCGCCAGGGCCAGGCGTGGGGGGCAGCCCAGAGAGATAACGTGGTAGGACTTTCCTTCGGCATGCTGTCCCCCCCTTGCTGTTCCCCGCTTTCTCTGAGTGTACTGTATGTTTGACCTGTGAAAGATGTAAACTTTATGATTCAGGTTATGTCTGTTCTTAACTCTGTATCTGTGTAATAAAGACAATTTAATATCAACCAGAGGCTCCGGAGCCTGGGCTTGTGCTGGGCGCCCTCACCCCCCACTCCTGGCAGTGCTTTGCACTCTGTGCCCCCAGTAATGAACCTCGGGGAGTTAATTACAGCCCTGGAGCCGCTCACTGCACAGGAGGGGCGCCCACCGCGGGGTAACTCAGCTGTGTCCTCGAGGCAATCAAGGGGATCTGCCCCCCCTGCAGCTGCAGCTCCACCCTCGGGGTGCCCCCCTGCTGCCCCGACGCTGCCAGCCGGCCGCGGCCCCGGCCGCAGCAGCGGGGTCGTCGCGCTGGGAGGGCCGGAGGGACCCCCGCCCATCAGCCGCGGCCGAGCAGCGCCGCCGGGTCTCGAACCCGCGGCCCCGGTGTCCGCTCGGGGGCGGGGCCGCCCGCAGGCGGCGGGGGCGGGGCCGTGGCGCGCGCCCCGCCCCGATTGGCCGCTGATGTGTGAAAGCGGCGCGCGCGCGCGAGGCGCGCTCGTGGTGGCGGGAGAGCCGCACGTGGTCGCCGCTCGCGCGGGCCGCGCGCAGCATGTTCGGGGGCCGGGCCAGGTGCGTGCGGGGCGCGGGGCGGGGGCCACCGGCCGGACCGGCCGGCCAGTGCTCGGACACCGCCCGGGCACGGCCCGGACACGGCCGGCCACTGCTCGGACACCGCCCGGGCACGGCTCGGACACGGCCGGCCAGTGCTCGGACACCGCCCGGGCACGGCCCGGACACGGCCGGCCACTGCTCGGACACCGCCCGGGCACGGCCCAGACACGGCCGGCCATTGCTCGGACACGGCCCGGACACCGCCCGGGCACGGCCGGCCACCGCCCGTGCACCGGACGGACACGGTGCCGCTGCTCCACGGGCTGCAGCCGTGCCGGCTCTCCACTCCCGGGTGGGAGTGCTCGCTCTCCCGGGTGGGAGGGTGTGCCCCTCCGAGAGCCTCCCGTGAGGGTGCGGCTCTTCCTTCGCGGCGGGACACAGAGCTCCCGGCTGCTCCCTCTGTGCGGCTCTGCTGGTGGCCGTGTCCTGCCTTCTCTCTCCGTTCCCTACCCGTTTCCTCTGTGCCCCTGGGGTTTTTTTCCACTTTAGGGCGGCTGCTTCCAGGTCCCCTCTGCAGCCCCCATGAGCTGGGAATCGACTCAGTGTGACCTGGAGACCTTTTGGCTACAATTTGCGGTTCTGTGGCTTTGCTGCACAGAGAACCAGCTGCATTAATGTCGCCTCTTAATCCTCCTGCTGGAAACGCCCCGCAAGCCCTCTCCTGGCGGAGGCTGTGCTTTAGCCGATCCGTTAAATGGCTGTTGGTTCAATGCCCTTTTGCCCCTTGTCCCGCCCAGTCCTCTCTTCCTGGACACTTCGGAGATCTGGTGGCAGGACCCACCGTCCCTGCGAGCGGAGGCGGCGCCCTGGGATGTGACAGAGGTGGCAGCCGTGTGCAAGGTGACAGACGAGAGCTCGGATGCGAGCGCCCAGGATGTGAACAGCACAGAGGAGCAGGATGTTCAGGACCCGGTGAGTGCCTGCCTGTCTGGGGAACCGCTTTTCCCTGGTGCCCAAAGGAAGAGGGGAACTTTTTACTCCTGGGGTGTCCCTGCTCTGAGTGCTGCTCGTGCAATTCTTGGTTTGGGATTCAGGAGCTGGAGGCCATCAAAGCCAAACTGCGGGAAATAGAGAAGGAAGATGAGAGGTTGAAGGAGTTGCAGCTGGAAGCTGAGAACCACCTGTTCGTGAGCTCAGAAGCAGGTAGGAGTTGTCACAGGGTGCTGCTGTCCCTCCCCAGGGACACCTCTGGGGCACAGGGTGACAATCGGAGCCAGAGTATTTGGCTCTACCTCTCTGGACACATAAGGTGGGTGAAGGGGGTTCCAGGCCTGGTGTAGTGCTAATGCACATTCTATCAGCTCTAATCTCCTACCTGTGTGGCCCCAGATGTAGTAAATTAATTTAATTGCACTTAGTTCAGTCAAGTAATTGAGTTTATTACCAACAGCTGCAGTAGAGGAGTCACTGTGAAAAGAAAAGGGCCAAGAGGGATGGAGGAGGAGGCAGCAGTGCGAGGGTTTGGGCACACCTGGATGTGAGAGGCATCTGAGGAGCTTTGCAGTGTGTCAGCTCAGGGGTGGCTGTGCTGGGAGCAGACAGATGTCCCTCTGTCCATGACAAATCCCTCCTCTCCACAGCTCTCTTCCCGCTGACAACCAAGGAGAAGATGGAGGCTGACCAGCGTTCTATCTATGTGGGCAACGTAAGTGGGAGCTGGGTGTGTGTCCCAAATCCCTGGTGTAGATCTGTCCCCCACCAAAGCCTGGCTGTTCCCATCCCAAGTGTTTCTCCTGTGCCCAGCCTGGCAGTGTAGCTGGTTATCCACTATTTGCAGCTCATCTGTTGCAAGTGTCAGCTCCCCAAAAAGCCCCCTGGAAGCTGTGGGTTGTGTGGTGTTGCTTGTTCCTTCAAAACAAGGACAGGATTTGTGTTCCAGGTGGGAACACTCAGCTGGGAGGGTCCCCTGACCCTCAGCAGAGGCTGAGCTGTGGTGGGGTGTGAGTGGGGCCAGCTGGGCCCTTTGCCTCCCTGCTGGGGTGTGGATCTGCTGCCTTGAGAGGCTGGCCTGGAACAGGACTAAACAGAGCTAAATGAACAAAACAGGTATTTATTGCAAGGCCTTAAAAGGACAAAGGACACACCTCAGGCAGTAGAAGAGGCTACACCCAGGCTGAATCCAGGATGGATCCCAGTCACGAGTTTTTACACTTGTGTGAGTTTTGGTTCATCTCCATATTGGGTTCAATTGTCCAGTTACAGCTCCAGGTCATGAAGTCCCAACCCCCTGGCTTGCCCCTTCCCGTTGTTGTCGTTTGTGCCTTTTTGGTAAGGTTGTCCTCGATTCTCCAGCTGGGAAGGGATTGTTGTGTCCAACTACTCTGTGAGGAGAACCTACTAACACCTCATAGAAAGTTCCAGAGTTACACACCAGGCAGCAGAGAACCTGGAAAATAGAAAAGCTGAAACCCAGGGCATCAGATGGCACACCCATGAGTTGTCGTTGCAGGTGGATTACGGGGGCACGGCAGAGGAGCTGGAGTCTCACTTCAACAGCTGTGGGCAGATCAACCGTGTCACCATCCTCTGTGACAAGTTCTCGGGCCACCCCAAAGGGTCAGTGCTGCGTGCAGGGAGGGCTGGGGGCCTGCAGGGTGTCCCTGGGGCTCTGCTCACACCATTGCTCCACAGCTATGCCTACATCGAGTTCGAGGAGCAGAGCTCTGCCAAGGCTGCGGTGGAGCTGGACGAGAGCATCTTCAGGGGCCGTGTCATCAAGGTGAGGGCTGGGGGTGCCCTGGGGGGCTGCTCCCCCCGTTCCCAGCCCTGGCTGCTTGGGGCTGGGCCAAATCCCAGCTCCAGCAGCCCCTCCCCACCCTGCAGGTGCTGCCCAAGAGGACCAACATGCCCGGCATCAGCAGCACCGACCGCGGGGGCTACCGGGGCTACTTCCATGCCCGGGGAGGGCTGGGCCGCTGGGGGGGCTACTACGGGCAGCACCTCAGGGTGCGAGGGAGGACCTACAGGTGAGTCTGGGCGTGGAGGGTCCTCAGGTGTGCAGCAGCATGGGGTCCCTGCTCCCCTGTCTCGGCTTTGCCCTTCCCACCCTGGGGATGGAGGAGGGCTCCGGCAGGAAGGAACAAGTGGAAATTTGGATTGTCACCCCGTCCCTGCAGGAATTGGGCGTTGCACTCCCAGCCTGAGCAGTTCCAGAGCTGTGCTTGGTTGTGGGGCTCCCCTGGCTTTGGGGGTGGCTGTGTAGGAGGGGGATCCCAGGCCTTGGGAGGGTGGCAGGAGCAGGGAGCAGTGCCCCTGTGCTTCAGCAGGTTGGTTTTGTTCTGCCTAGGGGTCGAGCAAGGCTGCTGCCTTGGTATTTTCCATACTAGAAGAGGCTGGACTGCCTGGTGATGCCAATGGGACTGAAAGGAGGAGATGGGATTGGAGAGATTTAAAAATATGCCTACCCAAGCCAAAAAACAGATTAATTTTAAAAATGCCATCTGCCTGGCCGTGAGGATTACTGGTGAGCCCTGTGCTGGGCTGCAGGAGGGAAGATGGGATCTGCTCCATCCTGCCAGCATCCCAGGAGAGCTCATCCCACCTCAGCTCTGCCTGGGGGGTTGTGTTTGCATGGAGGACAGCTCATTCCAGAGAGCACTGTCCTGGGAAGGGAAGAGCTCTTCCAGACCATCAAGTCTCATCCCATGGAAAATCCAGGCTGTCCTGGAGGGTTCCTGGCTGGCTGCATGCCCACCATGCCACTGCTTGGCCATGAACCTCCTCAGCTCTTCCTACAGCAGCTGGATCTTCTTTTCTTCTAAGAACTAAAGACTCTTTCCTTTCCCAAATCATTGGAGGGAAACTTTGGGTTGCAGCTCCAGATCTGATTGCTGGGAACCTTTTCCTTCATCAGCCCTATGGATGTGACCTTCCTCTTGGGAAGGCTGGTGTGGTTTGGGTCTGGCTTTTGGCGTGCTGCATTTGTACATCCAGGCCAGGAAAAAGCAATCTCTTGTTTCTCTGGGAGCCTCTCTGTCTCTGTGGTAGTTAAACAGGACCTGGGTGTCACAAAACCCTTCCTCTTTTTTAGTTTGGCTGTCGGCAAAGCCTCTTCCCTCCCTCCTGTTTTTACTCGTCTCCAGGGGTCAAAGGGTGCTGGCAGCTCCTTTTTCTTGCAGTAGCAGCATTACAAAATCACCTTCACTGGTGCAGATTTGGTCTGGTCTCCCTCTTCATTCCCATCACCATTCCTGCTCTGGAGGCACATTTGGGGATGCTGGGAGCCCTGCTGGAGGCTCAGGAGCTGGGTGCCAGGGAAGAAGGTTCCTGGCTCTTCCCTTTCCTGCTGAATTTGTGTTTTTTAAAGGAAAAGCTTTGTGTTAGGAGAGGTGGGCTGGACCCCCCGGCAGACAGCATTCCTGGCAGAAGTTCTGCATGGAAATGGCTTTTATTATGTAATTCTCCCACTAATCTTTTCGGGATCCTTGGTTAGGATTCCTCTAACCCAGATGCAGCAGATGCAACTGACTCCTAAAGCAGCTTTTCACAGCTCAGGGGCATTGCCAGGCTAAAAATCCCACTGATTTTTTTTTCCTTTTAAGATCTCTAGATTTTTTTTTAAAAAGCTTGGGGCCTTAACTCTTCATGTTGTGTTGCTATTGTCCTCAGAGCTGCTGAGATTGACCTTGATTTGAGCTACCTTTAGGCTTAGACTATAAACCAGCTTTTTCTAGGGCTTCTGTTTGATAGAATTATAAATTTCTGAGGCTTATTTTTTAATAAAAAACTACTTTGGGGTGTTTGGACTCTGTTGTGGAAGAAGCAACACTGAGCTGCCATCTCCATGAGTGAAAACAGCCAAATATTTTAGATGAAAATGTTTGTGGATAACAGTGCACAGCTGTGCCTTGTGGAGATGGTGGGAGAGGCTTGAACCTCCCAGGATATTCCAGGTGGTTGCTGATAAAATGAACTTGAGTTCTGTATGAGAAAGTATTTGTAATTGTTACTTATTTTTAAAATAAATGATCCTGCTGTGTGAACTTCATGTGCAGTTCTGGCTTTCTCCAGGCTCCTGGGATCCCCTGGGGCTGGGCAGATCTGTTATTTTTAGCTGGTTTCTGTGGTTTTTAACTGATGAGGTGCTTGCAGTAGAGGTGTTTGTGCCTGCTCCTGCTTGCATCTCCTCTGCTGAAGCAGGAGTGATGGAGCTGGGATGTTTTTCCAGTGCAATTTGTACTTTATTCCAGATAAATACCTGCTGCTGATTCGGAATTCTGTAATTAGAGCTGCAGGGGAGGAGATGCTAATGGGGATGAATTTGGGATGAGCCAGGCAGCTGTGCAATCCTGATGGTTTAATCCCTGCCTGGATTGGGTGGGATTATTCCAGCTGCTCTACCTGGGCTGGGGATCACTGTGCAGTGTGTCTGGATGAGGTGCAAAGTGGTAACAGCAAGCTGAGTCACCCAGCAATCAGCCCAGGCAGGGGAGCTCCTAGAAAGGTTTGGTTGGAAGGGCCCTTGGAGCAGCCTGGGACAGTGGAAGATGTCCCTGCCCATGGAATGAGGTGGCTTTAATGTCCCCTCCCACCCAAACCATGCCATGATTCCTTGAGCAGTGGTTTGTGTTTGCTCGAGTACAAATCCAGGTGAACCCTGCAGGCATCAGGTTTATTTTACACAGAACAAATTTAAATTATTACACAGAATGGAATATTTACAGCACTGCAGGCATGCTCCTGCACACAGGGAATGTCTCCCAGGGGTTCAGCACACCTGCATCATCATGGAGTTCACCATAGTATCAAAAGCCCTGGAGAAGGAAATAAAACCAGATTATTAAAGAAGCAGCTCATTCTGCGCAGCTTTTGTAACAAAACAACTTTATCACCCTGCCTCTGCCTGGCTTTCCCAAAGATGGATATGGGGTTTTCCTCTTTACAGTACAGGCTGTTAAGGGATTAATGACTTTTAATTAAGCTGAAGTAAGGACAGGTCTTATCCTGGCCACTGCCCTGGGTCTGCAAAGTTGTTCTTGCCTAGACCATAGAAACTCCTAATTTATTAAAATTCTCTGTGAGGTTACAATGGGAATGGGGGACACTGACCCTCACAGGTGAGGAATTCCATGTGCTGAATGTTTGTCCCTAACTAAGGATAAACCCTGGACAAGGGCACTTGTTCACTCTTTAACCTGTTCTATGTACATTTTAATATTCACAATTCTAAATTTGCAGAAGACGTCTAGGACCATCAAGTCCAACTACTGTTCCCTCTCTTTTCAGGTAATTTTTTCTCCCAAATAATTTTCTTGGCTTAATGTTTGTAACCCCAGTTCTGAGGTAGGAGTTGGATTTTTATGACACCATCAGTTTTTCATGGGTAGGAATGGCCCAAAACCAACATCACTGCTCTCATTAAGGCACTTAGAGCACACACACCTGAACTGGCCAACCACAGGACTGGTCCTGCTGCATCAGAGGTGCCCTGAAAATTCCAGACAAGTGTCAAAGAACCATGTGGACAAGCCACTCACCTGGAATGGATCCTGTCCCCGGGGTTATAGAAGGGGTTACACATGATGTCTGTGTAGGAATTGTGCAGCTTTCGGAACATCTGGAAGAGGAGAGGAGGTGAGTGAATCAATTGTTTGTCTCTCAGCACGTCCCGAGGAGCTGGAAGGAGCAGCCCCACTGAGGTGGCTCTGCTTTGGTGCACTCACACTGCGGATCTCATTGTCCCTCAGGGCTGTGTTGGAGGAATCCACCACCATGACAAACTTCACCTTGGAGTTGGTCACGTAGCCATAGCTGGGCAGGGGTCAAGGACCTGCCTCTCACACAGCAGGGCCTGGCACATCCATAAACCAGGCTGGAATGTGCCCAGAGGGACAAACTGAGAGGGAATTTTGGGCAGACACAGCACTGTTCTCTCTGTGACAGGGACAGCACCCAGGGAATGGCTGGAGCTGTGCCAGGGCAGGTTTAGGTTGGAGATCAGGGAAAGGCTCTTCCCCCAGAGGTGCTGGGCACTGCCCAGGCTGCCCAGGGAATGGGCACAGCCCCGAGGCTGCCAGAGCTCCAGGAGAGTTTGGACAATGCTCCCAGGGGTGGTCAGGGTGGGGTTATTGGGGTGTTTGTGCAGGGCTGGGGTTGGACATGATGATCCCTTCCAGCTCGGGATATTCTGTGATTTAAACTAAACCCACAATGGCCTGGCCCAAGGCTCGACAAAGATACACCTTGTAGTCTTCAGTGGGGTAGAGGAGCCCCAGGTACAGCTCCCTCTGGTCCACCAGGGCTTTGCCCATGGCTGAGATCTTCTCATCCACCACATCCAGGGAGGTGTGCACAGTGTAGTGGAACTTCAGCTCGTTCTCCGTGGGGACACTCCGGATGTACAGGGGGTAATTCTGGGAGCAGAAGGAGTCACACTGCTGCTGCCAGAGCTGGTTAACCATTTATGTTCCCAGCAGAGCCCCTCCCCAGGCTGCAGCACCTCTGGAGCACAGCTGTTCCCGTGGCAGGAGAACCATTTGCACAGGCAGCGCACAAGGCTCAGGTCTCTGTGCCCGTCTGTCCCAAGGAAAACCCTTCTGTCCCAGCAGCAGGACAGCCCAGAGCTCCTGGCACTGTGCCTGTGCTGGCTGCCCATCCTGCTCCTGCCCAGCCCTTTTCACCCCACTGGCTGCCCCGGCTCTGCTCTGTTCTGCTCCCCTCACCCCTATGCAGACCCCACAACCTGAGATCCTGCCCATTCCCCTCTCCCCTACCCCGGTCCTGCTCAGATCCTAAAACCAGAGCCCCTCTCTCCTCACCCTTCCCCAGACCCCACTAATCCCCTGTTTTCCTCAACCCCATGACCTGAAATCCTGCCTATTCCCCTCTCCCATACCCCAGTCCTGCTCGGACCCTAAAAGCAGAGCCCCTAACCATTCCCACTAATTCCCGTTCTCAGCCCCACAACCCGAGACCCAGCCCCTCTCTCCTCACCCTTCCCCAGACCCCACTAATCCCCTGTTTTCCTCAACCCCATGATCCAAAATCCTGCCTATTCCCCTCTCTCATACCCCACAGCCCCAGTCCTGCTCGGACCCTAAAAGCAGAGCCCCTAACCATTCCCACTAATCCCCCTTTTCCTCAACCCCACAGCCGGAGCCCCAGCCCCTCTCCCCTCACCACTAATCCCCTTTTCCCTCAGCCCCACAACCCGAATTCCTGCCCATTCCCCTCTCCCGTCCCCCACAGCCCCGGCCCCTTTCCCCCCTCAGCATTCCCCACACCCACTGCTCCCCTCAGCCCCACAGCCTGAGGCCTCCGCTCCCCGCTCGCTCCGTCCCGGTGTCCCCGCGGCCCGTTCCCGGTGTCGTACTCCACGTCCCGGTGTTCCTGCTCTGCTCGTCCCGGTGTCCCCGCTCCGCCCGTCCCCGGTGTCCCCTCGTCCCGGTGTCCCTGCTCGGCCCGTCCCGGTGTCCCCGCGGCCCGTCACAGTGTTGCACTCCCCGTCCCGGTATCCCCCGGCCCGTCCCGGTGTGCCCCGGCACCTCCTTGGCGATCACGGCGATGCACACCGCCATCTTGGCCCCGCCCCTCCCGGCGGGTCACGCGCGGCCCGGGTCACGCGCGGCCCGGTTGCCATGGCGAGCGCGGCGCGGCGGCCGCGGGGCCCGCTCGGGCTGTGCGGGGCCGTGCTGGGCCCGCTCGGGCTGTGCGGGGCCGTGCTGGGCCCGCTCGGGCTGTGCGGGGCCGTGCTGGGCC